TCAGACATTTCTTTTAACTTCACTTTCAACACTTGTAAAATTATAAAACGGTTTGCTTTCAGAAATTTTTACGAATTTTTAGTCACCCATTTTTATGAGAATCGTGGAGGAGGGCGGTATACAATGATGTGGCATTGGTCGTTCTCGACAGCTAAGTTTATGGCATCTAAAAGGTAATTTGCTTCGAAAAAATGATAGATGTAAAAAAAATCATTTGAAATGCAATTTAATAATATCTATAAGCTTGACAGAGTTTAATAAACTTAAGTTTGTGTTGATACTTTGTGAGTTCATGTTTAAATGGCACTCAAGTGAAACATTATCTTTAATGGTCAATAATTTTGCTTACAAAATGAATTTATTATAAGAAATTATGCTATAAAATCATTTGTAACGGGTTTTAAAAACAAAATTTAAAAACAATTTTGTATACAAATCTAAACGAATGATGTTATTAAAATGCAAAAAAATATATTTATTGAATGCTTTCAAAGTAGCCCTACCTTGCATAAAACGACCATCGGAGTAGCATATAGCATTCAAACAAATTACCCAAATATAGTTTAGAATATAGTTTTAAAAGTCCAATTTATTTTAGCATTCATTCAAAAGAAGTTAAACTTGCTTTAATAATTTGTTAGTATTTAAGATTTTATATTATCATTTCTGGACCATTATAAAGTTGTTAACGAATTTCCAAGGAGTCATAAAAAAATGGGAGTTTGATAACTTACAAGTACTAACAAATGTATTAACAAAACTAGAAAGAGTTAGTTATTAAATAAATAATAAATTCCGAGTTTTAAAACGTGTTTTGTTATGTTATAAGTAGTTTCGCAATGTTTGTCTAAATAGCAGGAAAATCCATTGCTCTATTTAATTCAAGTGCTTTATTTGTATTTGAAAAATATAACAATATACAAGTATTTATTTAAGTAAAAAATTTATTAAATAAATAACAATTTGACATTTTTTTGGGAAAATCATATTCTATTTATTTGTTTGAATACCAGTATAACCATTAAATCTTATACTATATAACGTGTGTTTCGCATTCAGAAAAAACAATCGATTTTCTTGTCTAAATAGCAGGACAATCCATTGCTCATATTTAATACAAGTGGTTTATTTTGTATTTTGAAAAATATAACAATATACAGTATTTATTTAAGTAAAAATGTATTAATAAATAACAAATTTTACATTTTTTGGGAAATCTTATTTATTTATTTGTTTGAATACCAGTACAACCTTAAATCGTATATAACGTGTGTTAGTATTCAGAAAAAACAATCGGATTTTCTCAATGTATATTTCTTTTAATTGAGAAAATGATAATCGCAATAGCATGATTTAACTTTACTTGATGAATGAAAAATACATATACAAGTATATGACTTCATATTATATATTTGCATTGTTATGTGAAATGCCAGGCATTGTGTAATAATGGAATAAAATGTAAATAATCATAATATAAAACGAAAAATGCTGTATACCAAGCAATAGTTAATCTCTTTGTTAGCTATTTGTGGTCCTGAAAAGGACCGATTATTGATTTTATAATTTGGGAAAATGAAGCGCTGAAATTTCAAACTTAATGCACGTTCACCACGATACGTCTGGCCAATTGAATGTCCTTGGGCATGATGTAACACGCTTGGCATGAATTGCGCACAAATTTGTATCTTCAAAAAGACCAACCAGATAGGCTTCGCTAGCTTCCTGTAATGCCATTACCGCTGAACTTGGAATCGCAAATCAGTTTTAAAGTCCTGTGCTATCTCACGAACCAAACGCTGGAATGGCAGTTTGCGAATCAATAGCTCAGTGCTTTCTGGTAGCGGCGGATCTCACGAAGTGCAACTGTACCGGGGCGATAACGATGTGGCTTTTTTACACCACCGGTGGCTGGTGCACTTTTACGAGCAGCTTTGGTAGCCAGCTGCTTGCGAGGCGCTTTGCCACCGGTCGATTTTCGGGCAGTTTGCTTGGGTGCGAGCCATTATACAAGTATTTATTCCGTACTAATCTACTACAACTGTATACACTGTCACTGATGAAAACACAATATTCGTATTGCTTGCTTTGCGCCTTCTTTAGATAGAAATTTGGCCGCACAATGCGATTGGTGGTTGTTTGAACGAGATGTGCGAAAGAGAGATAGGAAGATTATCCGACTCGCTCGTGTTTTCGTGTTATTTTTGTATAAATACGAGCGTATGTGGCCGCAACAGCGTTAGTTTCGTTGTGAATTTTGTGCAGTTAAAGTGAATTAGTGAGAAATGACTGGTCGTGGTAAAGGTGGCAAAGGCTTGGGCAAGGGTGGCGCAAAACGTCATCGCAAAGTATTGCGTGATAACATTCAGGGTATCACAAAGCCAGCTATCCGTCGTTTGGCTCGACGTGGCGGTGTAAAACGCATCTCTGGCTTAATTTATGAAGAGACCCGTGGTGTGCTCAAGGTGTTTTTGGAGAATGTTATTCGTGATGCTGTCACCTATACGGAACATGCCAAAAGGAAAACAGTCACAGCTATGGATGTTGTATATGCATTAAAAAGACAAGGCCGCACCCTTTACGGTTTCGGCGGTTAAGAAGTTACATTTGCCCAAATGTGCAAATAAAGAAAACAATCGGTCCTTTTCAGGACCACAACATATATTTTTAAAAGAGAAAATATTCAATCATACTTTTATTTTACAAAAAGCTGTACAATCGATACTCTTCCATTTATATTTTCATAATATAATTGAACCTTTTCAGGACCACAACATATTTTTTTAAAAGAGAAAATATTCAACTCATACTTTTATTTTACATACGCATATTTAAAAAAACAAACATATTGTACAGCTTACATTCCATCCATTTATATTTTCATATTTAGGAGTAAAATATGGCAAACGTTGGCAGTGTTAAAAATTCGAGTATAAATACTTGCACTCAAGTAATTATTATACGTATTGACCAAATTCAAAAGGGATAAAAAAATACTTTCGAATTAAAAATATATAATACGCATTATATACATACAAGTAGTATATTCTACGGTTCACGACATGCTGCCCGACCAAATGCTAAGCCTTCATATTTATACTTTATTCAAATTCACGTTGTATGATGATGAATTAAAATCTCTTCTGAATTAAATTGGTCGTCCTGAAAAGGACGGTTGGTTTTATATACATATTGTTTTTATTTATTAAAGGTTGCCGCCAATTTAAGCCTTCTTTTCGGTCTTTTTAGGTAAAAGCACCGCCTGGATGTTAGGTAGAACACCACCCTGAGCAATGGTTACGCCCGAGAGGAGCTTGTTTAACTCCTCGTCATTACGAATAGCCAGTTGCAGGTGACGTGGAATTATGCGCGTCTTTTTATTATCGCGTGCTGCATTGCCAGCCAACTCCAGAAACTTCAGCGGCTAAATATTCCATAACAGCAGCCAGGTAAACAGGAGCGCCGGCACCAACACGTTCAGCATAGTTACCCTTGCGAAGCAGGCGGGTGGATACGGCCAACTGGGAATTGAAGGCCAGCTCGATTCGAACGCGACTTTGCCTTTCCCTTTACTTTACCACCTTTACCACGACCAGACATTTTCTATTTTTTTATTTCACAAATACACTTCTCACTGCTCACTGGCTCACACACAAATGTTGATGTCCGACCAAGTGTTAGGCCTTTATATTTATACTTTTTTAAGCATCATATACGCTCTGCTAAGGGTTGGACGGCTTCTTATAAGTTAAACCTGAAGGCGATGTTAAACAAAAATATACAAATATGTAGCAATTCAGTGGTAGAAAAATATTGCTAAAGCAACTGTGAAGTGTTGTGTTATTTTAACTCAAGTGAATTAAATTAATCTGAAGTGAAAAATGCCCGCCAAAGACCAGTGGAAAGGCAGCGAAAAAGGCTGGTAAAGCCCAGAAAAATATAACCAAGAACGACAAGAAGAAGAAGCGCAAGAGGAAGGAGAGTTATGCCATCTACATATACAAAGTTCTGAAGCAGGTTCATCCTGATACAGGCATTTCATCGAAGGCAATGAGCATCATGAACAGTTTTGTGAATGACATTTTCGAGCGCATTGCTGCTGAAGCTTCCCATTTGGCCCACTATAATAAACGATCGACAATAACGAGTCGCGAAATCCAAACGGCAGTCCGCCTACTTCTGCCCGGTGAATTGGCTAAGCACGCCGTAAGTGAAGGCACCAAAGCCGTTACCAAGTACACCAGCTCAAAGTAAATGTCTGATCGCCCGCTTCATAGCAGCAACAACGTTCCAAAAGGCCCTTTTCAGGGCCATCAAATTTTCATAAGCAGAGTTAATAATTTTCATACATTTCTTTTAAATAAAATTTACATGGCACCCCTTTACTGTGATAAAAAACAAAATCTATTATAATGGGCGAACATATATATTAATATAACTATTTTGGTCAATATTTATAAACAAACTATTTTTACAAATCATATCGTTCACCTATATGATATGCAGTTCTTATTGCTTGAAATCGACTGAAACAAAACAATTTTTAGTCACCCATTTTATGAGAATCGTGGAGGAGGACCGGACCGTATACAATTCCATTGTATTTGCATCAGCTAAGTTTATCGTAATTTGCTTCGAAAAATGATTAAATTATTTATTAATTTTATTAATATACGTTTTTTTTTAAACTTTTGTGCTCAAAGTGAAACATTTTTCAATTCTCATTATTTTTGTTACAAAATTAACTAACAAATTATGGTCTAAAAAACCCTTTGTAACAGTTTTAAAAACAAAAATTGTTAAATTTTCATACATATACTTGTACACCTAGAAGTAATAACAAATATATTAACAAAATTAGAAAAAAGATAAGATTATTTGAAACCATTTAAATCACATTTGAAAATTATTTTTCTCTTTCTTAGTTGTTTGTAGCCCTGAAAAGGGCTTTGTTTCAAATGAATTTTTATATTTGCATATACAAAATTTCACATATGCATTCATTTCTTGACTACTGCTGTCTTTGCCTTTTTGGCGGAAGCTGCAGCCTTTGGTTTTTTCGGTGCCGATGCTGTCTTCTTTGGCTTGGCACTAGTAGTAGTAGTTTTGGCCTTTGGAGTTTTTGGTTTTACAGCACTCGATTTAGGCTTCGATGTAGTTGATTTTGCCTTAACTGTACCACTTTTCTTTGCGTCTTTTGCCTTTGCCTTCTCCTTTGTCTTTTTCTCGGCAGTCTTTTTAGTGGCAACAGATTTTTTAACTTTAGATTTCTTGTCACCCGGCTGCAGAGGCCTTCTTGGCGACGCCGCTCGACTTCTTTTTAGCTGCTCCAACTGCTGGTGCAACTTTTTCTTACTTTTCTCGACGGAACTGACTTTTGGCTTTGGCTCTTTTTTAGCGGCCGCAGATAATTTAAACGAACCAGATGCGCCTTTGCCTTTTGTTTGGATGAGTTTCCATTGCAACAGCTGACTTCAAATATTTCTTAATGAACGGGGCCAATTTCTGGGGCATCGCATTTATATGTGGCACTAATGTACTTTTTAAATTGCCAAAAGTGATGACCCACCACCGCGCTCCTTCAAATTCTTGATTGACGCGTCGACCATTTGCTGGGTTGGCGGATGTGATGGTGGAGCTGTAGCTTTTTCGATTTGGCGGCAGTTGCCTTCTTGACAGTGACCTTTTCTCCGCTTGTGCAATGGCAATCGGAGAGGCGGGCCGATGTAACAGCAAACGATAGAATCAGACATTTCTTTTAAACTTCACTTTCACACTTGTAAAATTATAAAAACGGTTTGCTTTCAGAAATTTTACGAATTTTTAGGTCACCCATTTTTATGAGAATCGTGGAGGAGGGCGGTATACAAATGAATGTGGCATTGGTCGTTCTCGACAGCTAAGTTTATGGCAATCTAAAAGGTAATTTGCTTCGAAAAAATGATTAGATGTAAAAAAAATCATTTGAAATGCAATTTAAATAATATCTATAAGCTTGACAGAGTTTAATAAACTTAAGTTTGTGTTGATACTTTTGTGAGTTCATTTTTAAATGGCACTCAAAGTGAAACATTATTCTTTAATGGTCAATAAGTTTGCTTACAAAATGAATTTATTATAAGAAATTATGCTATAAAATCATTTGTAACGGGTTTTAAACAAAATTTAAACAATTTTGTATACAAATCTAAACGAATGATTTATTAAAATGCAAAAAAATATATTTATTGAATGCTTTCAAAGTAGCCCTACCTTGCATAAAACGACCATCGGAGTAGCATATAGCATTCAAACAAATTACCAAATATAGTTTAAGAATATAGTTTTAAAAAGTCCAATTTATTTTAGCATTCATTCAAAAGAAGTTAAACTTGCTTTAATAATTTGTTAAGTATTTAAGATTTTATATTATCATTTCTGGACCCATTATAAGTTGTTAACGAATTTCCAAGGAGTCATAAAAAAATGGAGTTTGATAACTTACAAGTACTAACAAATGTATTAACAAAACTAGAAAGAGTTAGTTATTAAATAAATAATAAATTCCGAGTTTTAAAAACGTGTTTTGTTATGTTATAAGTAGTTTCGCATGTTTGTCTAAATAGCAGGAAAATCCATTGCTCTATTTAATTCAAGTGCTTTATTTTGTATTTTGAAAAATATAACAATATACAAGTATTTATTTAAGTAAAAAATTTATTAAATAAATAACAAATTTTACATTTTTTTGGGAAAATCATATTTTATTTATTTGTTTGAATACCAGTAACAACCATTAAATCGTATATAACGTGTGTTCAGTATTCAGAAAAAACAATCGATTTTCTCAATGTATATTTCTTTTAATTGAGAAAATGATAATCGCAATAGCATGATTTAATTTACTTGATGAATGAAAAATACATATACAAGTATATGACTTCATATTTATATATTTGCATTGTTATGTGAAATGCCAGGCATTTGTGTAAATAATGGAATAAATGTAAATAATCATAATATAAAACGAAAAATGCTGTATACCAAGCAATAGTTAATCTCTTTGTTAGCTATTTGTGGTCCTGAAAAGGACCGATTATTGATTTTATAATTTGGAAAATGAAGCGCTGAAATTTCAACTTATGCACGTTCACCACGAATACGTCTGGCCAATTGAATGTCCTTGGGCATGATTGTAACACGCTTGGCATGAATTGCGCACAAATTTGTATCTTCAAAAAGACCAACCAGATAGGCTTCGCTAGCTTCCTGTAATGCCATTACCGCTGAACTTTGGAATCGCAAATCAGTTTTAAAGTCCTGTGCTATCTCACGAACCAAACGCTGGAATGGCAGTTTGCGAATCAATAGCTCAGTGCTTTTCTGGTAGCGGCGGATCTCACGAAGTGCAACTGTACCGGGGCGATAACGATGTGGCTTTTTACACCACCGGTGGCTGGTGCACTTTTACGAGCAGCTTTGGTAGCCAGCTGCTTGCGAGGCGCTTTGCCACCGGTCGATTTTCGGGCAGTTTGCTTGGTGCGAGCCATTATACAAGTATTTATTCCGTACTAATCTACTACACTGTATACACTGTCACTGATGAAAACACAATATTCGTATTGCTTGCTTTGCGGCCTTCTTTATATAGAAATTTGGCCGCACAATGCGATTGGTGGTTGTTTGAACGAGATGTGCGAAAGAGAGATAGGAAGATTATCCGACTCGCTCGTGTTTTCGTGTTATTTTTGTATAAATACGAGCGTATGTGGCCGCAACAGCGTTAGTTTCGTTGTGAATTTTGTGCAGTTAAAGTGAATTAGTGAGAAATGACTGGTCGTGGTAAAGGTGGCAAAGGCTTGGGCAAGGGTGGCGCAAAACGTCATCGCAAAGTATTGCGTGATAACATTCAGGGTATCACAAAGCCAGCTATCCGTCGTTTGGCTCGACGTGGCGGTGTAAAACGCATCTCTGGCTTAATTTATGAAGAGACCCGTGGTGTGCTCAAGGTGTTTTTGGAGAATGTTATTCGTGATGCTGTCACCTATACGGAACATGCCAAAAGGAAAACAGTCACAGCTATGGATGTTGTATATGCATTAAAAAGACAAGGCCGCACCCTTTACGGTTTCGGCGGTTAAGAAGTTACATTTGCCCAAATGTGCAAATAAAGAAAACAATCGGTCCTTTTCAGGACCACAACATATATTTTTAAAAGAGAAAAATATTCAAATCATACTTTTATTTTACAAAAAGCTGTACAATCGATACTCTTCATTTATATTTTCATAATATATTGAACCTTTTCAGGACCACAACATATTTTTTTAAAAGAGAAAAATATTCAACTCATACTTTTATTTTACATACGCATATTTAAAAAAACAAACATATTGTACAGCTTACATTCCATCCATTTATATTTTCATAATTTAGGAGTAAAATATGGCAAACGTTGGCAGTGTTAAAAATTCGAGTATAAATACTTGCACTCAAGTAATTATTATACGTATTGACCAAATTCAAAAGGGATAAAAAATACTTTCGAATTAAAAATATATAATACGCATTATATACATACAAGTAGTATATTCTACGGTTCACGACATGCTGCCCGACCAAATGCTAAGCCTTCATATTTATACTTTATTCAAATTCACGTTGTATGATGATGAATTAAAATCTCTTCTGAATTAAATTGGTCGTCCTGAATGGGACGGTTGGTTTTATATACAGTATTGTTTTTATTTATTAAAGGTTGCCGCCAATTTAAGCCTTCTTTTCGGTCTTTTTAGGTAAAAGCACCGCCTGGATGTTAGGTAGAACACCACCCTGAGCAATGGTTACGCCCGAGAGGAGCTTGTTTAACTCCTCGTCATTACGAATAGCCAGTTGCAGGTGACGTGGAATTATGCGCGTCTTTTTATTATCGCGTGCTGCATTGCCAGCCAACTCCAGAACTTCAGCGGCTAAATATTCCATAACAGCAGCCAGGTAAACAGGAGCGCCGGCACCAACACGTTCAGCATAGTTACCCTTGCGAAGCAGGCGGTGGATACGGCCAACTGGGAATTGAAGGCCAGCTCGATTCGAACGCGACTTTGCCTTTCCCTTTACTTTACCACCTTTACCACGACCAGACATTTTCTATTTTTTTTTTTTTTTATTTCACAAATACACTTCTCACTGGCTCACTGGCTCACACACAAATGTTGATGTCCGACCAAGTGTTAGGCCTTTATATTTATACTTTTTTAAGCATCATATACGCTCTGCTAAGGGTTGGACGGCTTCTTATAAGTTAAACCTGAAGGCGATGTTAAACAAAAATATACAAATATGTAGCAATTCAGTGGTAGAAAAATATTGCTAAAGCAACTGTGAAGTGTTGTGTTATTTTAACTCAAGTGAATTAAATTAATCTGAAGTGAAAAATGCCGCCAAAGACCAGTGGAAAGGCAGCGAAAAAGGCTGGTAAAGCCCAGAAAAATATAACCAAGAACGACAAGAAGAAGAAGCGCAAGAGGAAGGAGAGTTATGCCATCTACATATACAAAGTTCTGAAGCAGGTTCATCCTGATACAGGCATTTCATCGAAGGCAATGAGCATCATGAACAGTTTTGTGAATGACATTTTCGAGCGCATTGCTGCTGAAGCTTCCCATTTGGCCCACTATAATAAACGATCGACAATAACGAGTCGCGAAATCCAAACGGCAGTCCGCCTACTTCTGCCCGGTGAATTGGCTAAGCACGCCGTAAGTGAAGGCACCAAAGCCGTTACCAAGTACACCAGCTCAAAGTAAATGTCTGATCGCCCGCTTCATAGCAGCAACAACGTTCCAAAAGGCCCTTTTCAGGGCCATCAAATTTTTCATAAGCAGAGTTAATAATTTTCATACATTTCTTTTAAATAAAATTTACATGGCACCCCTTTACTGTGATAAAAAACAAAATCTATTATAATGGGCGAACATATATATTAATATAACTATTTTGGTCAATATTTATAAACAAACTATTTTTACAAATCATATCGTTCACCTATATGATATGCAGTTCTTATTGCTTGAAATCGACTGAAACAAAACAATTTTTAGTCACCCATTTTTATGAGAATCGTGGAGGAGGACCGGACCGTATACAATTCCATTGTATTTGCATCAGCTAAGTTTATCGTAATTTGCTTCGAAAAATGATTAAATTATTTATTAATTTTATTAATATACGTTTTTTTTTTAAACTTTTGTGCTCAAAGTGAAACATTTTTCAATTCTCATTATTTTTGTTACAAAATTAACTAACAAATTATGGTCTAAAACCCTTTGTAACAGTTTTAAACAAAAATTGTTAAATTTTTCATACATATACTTGTACACCTAGAAGTAATAACAAATATATTAACAAAATTAGAAAAAGATAAGATTATTTGAAACCATTTAAATCACATTTGAAAATTATTTTTTCTCTTTCTTAGTTGTTTGTAGCCCTGAAAAGGGCTTTGTTTCAAATGAATTTTTATATTTGCATATACAAAATTTCACATATGCATTCATTTCTTGACTACTGCTGTCTTTGCCTTTTTGGCGGAAGCTGCAGCCTTTGGTTTTTTCGGTGCCGATGCTGTCTTCTTTGGCTTGGCACTAGTAGTAGTAGTTTTGGCCTTTGGAGTTTTTGGTTTTACAGCACTCGATTTAGGCTTCGATGTAGTTGATTTTGCCTTAACTGTACCACTTTTCTTTGCGTCTTTTGCCTTTGCCTTCTCCTTTGTCTTTTTCTCGGCAGTCTTTTTAGTGGCAACAGATTTTTTAACTTTAGATTTCTTGTCACCGGCTGCAGAGGCCTTCTTGGCGACGCCGCTCGACTTCTTTTTAGCTGCTCCAACTGCTGGTGCAACTTTTTTCTTACTTTTCTCGACGGAACTGACTTTTGGCTTTGGCTCTTTTTTAGCGGCCGCAGATAATTTAAACGAACCAGATGCGCCTTTGCCTTTTGTTTGGATGAGTTTTCCATTTGCAACAGCTGACTTCAAATATTTCTTAATGAACGGGGCCAATTTCTGGGCATCGCATTTATATGTGGCACTAATGTACTTTTTAATTGCCAAAAGTGATGACCCACCGCGCTCCTTCAAATTCTTGATTGACGCGTCGACCATTTGCTGGGTTGGCGGATGTGATGGTGGAGCTGTAGCTTTTTTCGATTTGGCGGCAGTTGCCTTCTTGACAGTGACCTTTTTCTCCGCTTGTGCAATGGCAATCGGAGAGGCGGCCGATGTAACAGCAACGATAGAATCAGACATTTCTTTTAACTTCACTTTCACACTTGTAAAATTATAAAACGGTTTGCTTTCAGAAATTTTACGAATTTTTAGTCACCCATTTTTATGAGAATCGTGGAGGAGGGCGGTATACAAATGAATGTGGCATTGGTCGTTCTCGACAGCTAAGTTTATGGCAATCTAAAAGGTAATTTGCTTCGAAAAATGATTAGATGTAAAAAAAATCATTTGAAATGCAATTTAATAATATCTATAAGCTTGACAGAGTTTAATAAACTTAAGTTTGTGTTGATACTTTTGTGAGTTCATTTTTAAATGGCACTCAAAGTGAAACATTATTCTTTAATGGTCAATAATTTTGCTTACAAAATGAATTTATTATAAGAAATTATGCTATAAAATCATTTGTAACGGGTTTTAAAACAAAATTTAAACAATTTTGTATACAAATCTAAACGAATGATTTATTAAAATGCAAAAAAATATATTTATTGAATGCTTTCAAAGTAGCCCTACCTTGCATAAAACGACCATCGGAGTAGCATATAGCATTCAAACAAATTACCAAATATAGTTTAAGAATATAGTTTTAAAAGTCCAATTTATTTTAGCATTCATTCAAAAGAAGTTAAACTTGCTTTAATAATTTGTTAAGTATTTAAGATTTTATATTATCATTTCTGGACCCATTATAAGTTGTTAACGAATTTCCAAGGAGTCATAAAAAAATGGAGTTTGATAACTTACAAGTACTAACAAATGTATTAACAAAACTAGAAAGAGTTAGTTATTAAATAAATAATAAATTCCGAGTTTTAAACGTGTTTTGTTATGTTATAAGTAGTTTCGCATGTTTGTCTAAATAGCAGGAAAATCCATTGCTCTATTTAATTCAAGTGCTTTATTTTGTATTTTGAAAAATATAACAATATACAAGTATTTATTTAAGTAAAAAATTTATTAAATAAATAACAAATTTTACATTTTTTTGGGAAAATCATATTTTATTTATTTGTTTGAATACCAGTAACAACCATTAAATCGTATATAACGTGTGTTCAGTATTCAGAAAAAACAATCGATTTTCTCAATGTATATTTCTTTTAATTGAGAAAATGATAATCGCAATAGCATGATTTAATTTACTTGATGAATGAAAAATACATATACAAGTATATGACTTCATATTTATATATTTGCATTGTTATGTGAAATGCCAGGCATTTGTGTAAATAATGGAATAAATGTAAATAATCATAATATAAAACGAAAAATGCTGTATACCAAGCAATAGTTAATCTCTTTGTTAGCTATTTGTGGTCCTGAAAAGGACCGATTATTGATTTTATAATTTGGAAAATGAAGCGCTGAAATTTCAACTTATGCACGTTCACCACGAATACGTCTGGCCAATTGAATGTCCTTGGGCATGATTGTAACACGCTTGGCATGAATTGCGCACAAATTTGTATCTTCAAAAAGACCAACCAGATAGGCTTCGCTAGCTTCCTGTAATGCCATTACCGCTGAACTTTGGAATCGCAAATCAGTTTTAAAGTCCTGTGCTATCTCACGAACCAAACGCTGGAATGGCAGTTTGCGAATCAATAGCTCAGTGCTTTTCTGGTAGCGGCGGATCTCACGAAGTGCAACTGTACCGGGGCGATAACGATGTGGCTTTTTTACACCACCGGTGGCTGGTGCACTTTTACGAGCAGCTTTGGTAGCCAGCTGCTTGCGAGGCGCTTTGCCACCGGTCGATTTTCGGGCAGTTTGCTTGGTGCGAGCCATTATACAAGTATTTATTCCGTACTAATCTACTACACTGTATACACTGTCACTGATGAAAACACAATATTCGTATTGCTTGCTTTGCGCCTTCTTTATATAGAAATTTGGCCGCACAATGCGATTGGTGGTTGTTTGAACGAGATGTGCGAAAGAGAGATAGGAAGATTATCCGACTCGCTCGTGTTTTCGTGTTATTTTTGTATAAATACGAGCGTATGTGGCCGCAACAGCGTTAGTTTCGTTGTGAATTTTGTGCAGTTAAAGTGAATTAGTGAGAAATGACTGGTCGTGGTAAAGGTGGCAAAGGCTTGGGCAAGGGTGGCGCAAAACGTCATCGCAAAGTATTGCGTGATAACATTCAGGGTATCACAAAGCCAGCTATCCGTCGTTTGGCTCGACGTGGCGGTGTAAAACGCATCTCTGGCTTAATTTATGAAGAGACCCGTGGTGTGCTCAAGGTGTTTTTGGAGAATGTTATTCGTGATGCTGTCACCTATACGGAACATGCCAAAAGGAAAACAGTCACAGCTATGGATGTTGTATATGCATTAAAAAGACAAGGCCGCACCCTTTACGGTTTCGGCGGTTAAGAAGTTACATTTGCCCAAATGTGCAAATAAAGAAAACAATCGGTCCTTTTCAGGACCACAACATATATTTTTAAAAGAGAAAAATATTCAAATCATACTTTTATTTTACAAAAAGCTGTACAATCGATACTCTTCATTTATATTTTCATAATATATTGAACCTTTTCAGGACCACAACATATTTTTTTAAAAGAGAAAAATATTCAACTCATACTTTTATTTTACATACGCATATTTAAAAAAACAAACATATTGTACAGCTTACATTCCATCCATTTATATTTTCATAATTTAGGAGTAAAATATGGCAAACGTTGGCAGTGTTAAAAATTCGAGTATAAATACTTGCACTCAAGTAATTATTATACGTATTGACCAAATTCAAAAGGGATAAAAAATACTTTCGAATTAAAAATATATAATACGCATTATATACATACAAGTAGTATATTCTACGGTTCACGACATGCTGCCCGACCAAATGCTAAGCCTTCATATTTATACTTTATTCAAATTCACGTTGTATGATGATGAATTAAAATCTCTTCTGAATTAAATTGGTCGTCCTGAAAAGGACGGTTGGTTTTATATACAGTATTGTTTTTATTTATTAAAGGTTGCCGCCAATTTAAGCCTTCTTTTCGGTCTTTTTAGGTAAAAGCACCGCCTGGATGTTAGGTAGAACACCACCCTGAGCAATGGTTACGCCCGAGAGGAGCTTGTTTAACTCCTCGTCATTACGAATAGCCAGTTGCAGGTGACGTGGAATTATGCGCGTCTTTTTATTATCGCGTGCTGCATTGCCAGCCAACTCCAGAACTTCAGCGGCTAAATATTCCATAACAGCAGCCAGGTAAACAGGAGCGCCGGCACCAACACGTTCAGCATAGTTACCCTTGCGAAGCAGGCGGTGGATACGGCCAACTGGGAATTGAAGGCCAGCTCGATTCGAACGCGACTTTGCCTTTCCCTTTACTTTACCACCTTTACCACGACCAGACATTTTCTATTTTTTTTTTTTTTTATTTCACAAATACACTTCTCACTGGCTCACTGGCTCACACACAAATGTTGATGTCCGACCAAGTGTTAGGCCTTTATATTTATACTTTTTTAAGCATCATATACGCTCTGCTAAGGGTTGGACGGCTTCTTATAAGTTAAACCTGAAGGCGATGTTAAACAAAAATATACAAATATGTAGCAATTCAGTGGTAGAAAAATATTGCTAAAGCAACTGTGAAGTGTTGTGTTATTTTAACTCAAGTGAATTAAATTAATCTGAAGTGAAAAATGCCGCCAAAGACCAGTGGAAAGGCAGCGAAAAAGGCTGGTAAAGCCCAGAAAAATATAACCAAGAACGACAAGAAGAAGAAGCGCAAGAGGAAGGAGAGTTATGCCATCTACATATACAAAGTTCTGAAGCAGGTTCATCCTGATACAGGCATTTCATCGAAGGCAATGAGCATCATGAACAGTTTTGTGAATGACATTTTCGAGCGCATTGCTGCTGAAGCTTCCCATTTGGCCCACTATAATAAACGATCGACAATAACGAGTCGCGAAATCCAAACGGCAGTCCGCCTACTTCTGCCCGGTGAATTGGCTAAGCACGCCGTAAGTGAAGGCACCAAAGCCGTTACCAAGTACACCAGCTCAAAGTAAATGTCTGATCGCCCGCTTCATAGCAGCAACAACGTTCCAAAAGGCCCTTTTCAGGGCCATCAAATTTTTCATAAGCAGAGTTAATAATTTTCATACATTTCTTTTAAATAAAATTTACATGGCACCCCTTTACTGTGATAAAAAACAAAATCTATTATAATGGGCGAACATATATATTAATATAACTATTTTGGTCAATATTTATAAACAAACTATTTTTACAAATCATATCGTTCACCTATATGATATGCAGTTCTTATTGCTTGAAATCGACTGAAACAAAACAATTTTTAGTCACCCATTTTTATGAGAATCGTGGAGGAGGACCGGACCGTATACAATTCCATTGTATTTGCATCAGCTAAGTTTATCGTAATTTGCTTCGAAAAATGATTAAATTATTTATTAATTTTATTAATATACGTTTTTTTTTAAACTTTTGTGCTCAAAGTGAAACATTTTTCAATTCTCATTATTTTTGTTACAAAATTAACTAACAAATTATGGTCTAAAACCCTTTGTAACAGTTTTAAACAAAAATTGTTAAATTTTTCATACATATACTTGTACACCTAGAAGTAATAACAAATATATTAACAAAATTAGAAAAAGATAAGATTATTTGAAACCATTTAAATCACATTTGAAAATTATTTTTTCTCTTTCTTAGTTGTTTGTAGCCCTGAAAAGGGCTTTGTTTCAAATGAATTTTTATATTTGCATATACAAAATTTCACATATGCATTCATTTCTTGACTACTGCTGTCTTTGCCTTTTTGGCGGAAGCTGCAGCCTTTGGTTTTTTCGGTGCCGATGCTGTCTTCTTTGGCTTGGCACTAGTAGTAGTAGTTTTGGCCTTTGGAGTTTTTGGTTTTACAGCACTCGATTTAGGCTTCGATGTAGTTGATTTTGCCTTAACTGTACCACTTTTCTTTGCGTCTTTTGCCTTTGCCTTCTCCTTTGTCTTTTTCTCGGCAGTCTTTTTAGTGGCAACAGATTTTTTAACTTTAGATTTCTTGTCACCGGCTGCAGAGGCCTTCTTGGCGACGCCGCTCGACTTCTTTTTAGCTGCTCCAACTGCTGGTGCAACTTTTTTCTTACTTTTCTCGACGGAACTGACTTTTGGCTTTGGCTCTTTTTTAGCGGCCGCAGATAATTTAAACGAACCAGATGCGCCTTTGCCTTTTGTTTGGATGAGTTTTCCATTTGCAACAGCTGACTTCAAATATTTCTTAATGAACGGGGCCAATTTCTGGGCATCGCATTTATATGTGGCACTAATGTACTTTTTAATTGCCAAAAGTGATGACCCACCGCGCTCCTTCAAATTCTTGATTGACGCGTCGACCATTTGCTGGGTTGGCGGATGTGATGGTGGAGCTGTAGCTTTTTTCGATTTGGCGGCAGTTGCCTTCTTGACAGTGACCTTTTTCTCCGCTTGTGCAATGGCAATCGGAGAGGCGGCCGATGTAACAGCAACGATAGAATCAGACATTTCTTTTAACTTCACTTTCACACTTGTAAAATTATAAAACGGTTTGCTTTCAGAAATTTTACGAATTTTTAGTCACCCATTTTTATGAGAATCGTGGAGGAGGGCGGTATACAAATGAATGTGGCATTGGTCGTTCTCGACAGCTAAGTTTATGGCAATCTAAAAGGTAATTTGCTTCGAAAAATGATTAGATGTAAAAAAAATCATTTGAAATGCAATTTAATAATATCTATAAGCTTGACAGAGTTTAATAAACTTAAGTTTGTGTTGATACTTTTGTGAGTTCATTTTTAAATGGCACTCAAAGTGAAACATTATTCTTTAATGGTCAATAATTTTGCTTACAAAATGAATTTATTATAAGAAATTATGCTATAAAATCATTTGTAACGGGTTTTAAACAAAATTTAAACAATTTTGTATACAAATCTAAACGAATGATTTATTAAAATGCAAAAAAATATATTTATTGAATGCTTTCAAAGTAGCCCTACCTTGCATAAAACGACCATCGGAGTAGCATATAGCATTCAAACAAATTACCAAATATAGTTTAAGAATATAGTTTTAAAAGTCCAATTTATTTTAGCATTCATTCAAAAGAAGTTAAACTTGCTTTAATAATTTGTTAAGTATTTAAGATTTTATATTATCATTTCTGGACCCATTATAAGTTGTTAACGAATTTCCAAGGAGTCATAAAAAAATGGAGTTTGATAACTTACAAGTACTAACAAATGTATTAACAAAACTAGAAAGAGTTAGTTATTAAATAAATAATAAATTCCGAGTTTTAAACGTGTTTTGTTATGTTATAAGTAGTTTCGCATGTTTGTCTAAATAGCAGGAAAATCCATTGCTCTATTTAATTCAAGTGCTTTATTTTGTATTTTGAAAAATATAACAATATACAAGTATTTATTTAAGTAAAAAATTTATTAAATAAATAACAAATTTTACATTTTTTTGGGAAAATCATATTTTATTTATTTGTTTGAATACCAGTAACAACCATTAAATCGTATATAACGTGTGTTCAGTATTCAGAAAAAACAATCGATTTTCTCAATGTATATTTCTTTTAATTGAGAAAATGATAATCGCAATAGCATGATTTAATTTACTTGATGAATGAAAAATACATATACAAGTATATGACTTCATATTTATATATTTGCATTGTTATGTGAAATGCCAGGCATTTGTGTAAATAATGGAATAAATGTAAATAATCATAATATAAAACGAAAAATGCTGTATACCAAGCAATAGTTAATCTCTTTGTTAGCTATTTGTGGTCCTGAAAAGGACCGATTATTGATTTTATAATTTGGAAAATGAAGCGCTGAAATTTCAACTTATGCACGTTCACCACGAATACGTCTGGCCAATTGAATGTCCTTGGGCATGATTGTAACACGCTTGGCATGAATTGCGCACAAATTTGTATCTTCAAAAAGACCAACCAGATAGGCTTCGCTAGCTTCCTGTAATGCCATTACCGCTGAACTTTGGAATCGCAAATCAGTTTTAAAGTCCTGTGCTATCTCACGAACCAAACGCTGGAATGGCAGTTTGCGAATCAATAGCTCAGTGCTTTTCTGGTAGCGGCGGATCTCACGAAGTGCAACTGTACCGGGGCGATAACGATGTGGCTTTTTTACACCACCGGTGGCTGGTGCACTTTTACGAGCAGCTTTGGTAGCCAGCTGCTTGCGAGGCGCTTTGCCACCGGTCGATTTTCGGGCAGTTTGCTTGGTGCGAGCCATTATACAAGTATTTATTCCGTACTAATCTACTACACTGTATACACTGTCACTGATGAAAACACAATATTCGTATTGCTTGCTTTGCGCCTTCTTTATATAGAAATTTGGCCGCACAATGCGATTGGTGGTTGTTTGAACGAGATGTGCGAAAGAGAGATAGGAAGATTATCCGACTCGCTCGTGTTTTCGTGTTATTTTTGTATAAATACGAGCGTATGTGGCCGCAACAGCGTTAGTTTCGTTGTGAATTTTGTGCAGTTAAAGTGAATTAGTGAGAAATGACTGGTCGTGGTAAAGGTGGCAAAGGCTTGGGCAAGGGTGGCGCAAAACGTCATCGCAAAGTATTGCGTGATAACATTCAGGGTATCACAAAGCCAGCTATCCGTCGTTTGGCTCGACGTGGCGGTGTAAAACGCATCTCTGGCTTAATTTATGAAGAGACCCGTGGTGTGCTCAAGGTGTTTTTGGAGAATGTTATTCGTGATGCTGTCACCTATACGGAACATGCCAAAAGGAAAACAGTCACAGCTATGGATGTTGTATATGCATTAAAAAGACAAGGCCGCACCCTTTACGGTTTCGGCGGTTAAGAAGTTACATTTGCCCAAATGTGCAAATAAAGAAAACAATCGGTCCTTTTCAGGACCACAACATATATTTTTAAAAGAGAAAAATATTCAAATCATACTTTTATTTTACAAAAAGCTGTACAATCGATACTCTTCATTTATATTTTCATAATATATTGAACCTTTTCAGGACCACAACATATTTTTTTAAAAGAGAAAAATATTCAACTCATACTTTTATTTTACATACGCATATTTAAAAAAACAAACATATTGTACAGCTTACATTCCATCCATTTATATTTTCATAATTTAGGAGTAAAATATGGCAAACGTTGGCAGTGTTAAAAATTCGAGTATAAATACTTGCACTCAAGTAATTATTATACGTATTGACCAAATTCAAAAGGGATAAAAAATACTTTCGAATTAAAAATATATAATACGCATTATATACATACAAGTAGTATATTCTACGGTTCACGACATGCTGCCCGACCAAATGCTAAGCCTTCATATTTATACTTTATTCAAATTCACGTTGTATGATGATGAATTAAAATCTCTTCTGAATTAAATTGGTCGTCCTGAAAAGGACGGTTGGTTTTATATACAGTATTGTTTTTATTTATTAAAGGTTGCCGCCAATTTAAGCCTTCTTTTCGGTCTTTTTAGGTAAAAGCACCGCCTGGATGTTAGGTAGAACACCACCCTGAGCAATGGTTACGCCCGAGAGGAGCTTGTTTAACTCCTCGTCATTACGAATAGCCAGTTGCAGGTGACGTGGAATTATGCGCGTCTTTTTATTATCGCGTGCTGCATTGCCAGCCAACTCCAGAACTTCAGCGGCTAAATATTCCATAACAGCAGCCAGGTAAACAGGAGCGCCGGCACCAACACGTTCAGCATAGTTACCCTTGCGAAGCAGGCGGTGGATACGGCCAACTGGGAATTGAAGGCCAGCTCGATTCGAACGCGACTTTGCCTTTCCCTTTACTTTACCACCTTTACCACGACCAGACATTTTCTATTTTTTTTTTTTTTATTTCACAAATACACTTCTCACTGGCTCACTGGCTCACACACAAATGTTGATGTCCGACCAAGTGTTAGGCCTTTATATTTATACTTTTTTAAGCATCATATACGCTCTGCTAAGGGTTGGACGGCTTCTTATAAGTTAAACCTGAAGGCGATGTTAAACAAAAATATACAAATATGTAGCAATTCAGTGGTAGAAAAATATTGCTAAAGCAACTGTGAAGTGTTGTGTTATTTTAACTCAAGTGAATTAAATTAATCTGAAGTGAAAAATGCCGCCAAACACCAGTGGAAAGGCAGCGAAAAAGGCTGGTAAAGCCCAGAAAAATATAACCAAGAACGACAAGAAGAAGAAGCGCAAGAGGAAGGAGAGTTATGCCATCTACATATACAAAGTTCTGAAGCAGGTTCATCCTGATACAGGCATTTCATCGAAGGCAATGAGCATCATGAACAGTTTTGTGAATGACATTTTCGAGCGCATTGCTGCTGAAGCTTCCCGTTTGGCCCACTATAATAAACGATCGACAATAACGAGTCGCGAAATCCAAACGGCAGTCCGACTACTTCTGCCCGGTGAATTGGCTAAGCACGCCGTAAGTGAAGGCACCAAAGCCGTTACCAAGTACACCAGCTCAAAGTAAATGTCTGATCGCCCGCTTCATAGCAGCAACAACGTTCCAAAAGGCCCTTTTCAGGGCCATCAAATTTTTCATAAGCAGAGTTAATAATTTTCATACATTTCTTTTAAATAAAATTTACATGGCACCCCTTTACTGTGATAAAAAACAAAATCTATTATAATGGGCGAACATATATTAATATAACTATTTTGGTCAATATTTATAAACAAACTATTTTTACAAATCATATCGTTCACCTATATGATATGCAGTTCTTATTGCTTGAAATCGACTGAAACAAAACAATTTTTAGTCACCCATTTTTATGAGAATCGTGGAGGAGGACCGGACCGTATACAATTCCATTGTATTTGCATCAGCTAAGTTTATCGTAATTTGCTTCGAAAAATGATTAAATTATTTATTAATTTTATTAATATACGTTTTTTTTTAAACTTTTGTGCTCAAAGTGAAACATTTTTCAATTCTCATTATTTTTGTTACAAAATTAACTAACAAATTATGGTCTAAAACCCTTTGTAACAGTTTTAAACAAAAATTGTTAAATTTTTCATACATATACTTGTACACCTAGAAGTAATAACAAATATATTAACAAAATTAGAAAAAGATAAGATTATTTGAAACCATTTAAATCACATTTGAAAATTATTTTTTCTCTTTCTTAGTTGTTTGTAGCCCTGAAAAGGGCTTTGTTTCAAATGAATTTTTATATTTGCATATACAAAATTTCACATATGCATTCATTTCTTGACTACTGCTGTCTTTGCCTTTTTGGCGGAAGCTGCAGCCTTTGGTTTTTTCGGTGCCGATGCTGTCTTCTTTGGCTTGGCACTAGTAGTAGTAGTTTTGGCCTTTGGAGTTTTTGGTTTTACAGCACTCGATTTAGGCTTCGATGTAGTTGATTTTGCCTTAACTGTACCACTTTTCTTTGCGTCTTTTGCCTTTGCCTTCTCCTTTGTCTTTTTCTCGGCAGTCTTTTTAGTGGCAACAGATTTTTTAACTTTAGATTTCTTGTCACCGGCTGCAGAGGCCTTCTTGGCGACGCCGCTCGACTTCTTTTTAGCTGCTCCAACTGCTGGTGCAACTTTTTTCTTACTTTTCTCGACGGAACTGACTTTTGGCTTTGGCTCTTTTTTAGCGGCCGCAGATAATTTAAACGAACCAGATGCGCCTTTGCCTTTTGTTTGGATGAGTTTTCCATTTGCAACAGCTGACTTCAAATATTTCTTAATGAACGGGGCCAATTTCTGGGCATCGCATTTATATGTGGCACTAATGTACTTTTTAATTGCCAAAAGTGATGACCCACCGCGCTCCTTCAAATTCTTGATTGACGCGTCGACCATTTGCTGGGTTGGCGGATGTGATGGTGGAGCTGTAGCTTTTTTCGATTTGGCGGCAGTTGCCTTCTTGACAGTGACCTTTTTCTCCGCTTGTGCAATGGCAATCGGAGAGGCGGCCGATGTAACAGCAACGATAGAATCAGACATTTCTTTTAACTTCACTTTCACACTTGTAAAATTATAAAACGGTTTGCTTTCAGAAATTTTACGAATTTTTAGTCACCCATTTTTATGAGAATCGTGGAGGAGGGCGGTATACAAATGAATGTGGCATTGGTCGTTCTCGACAGCTAAGTTTATGGCAATCTAAAAGGTAATTTGCTTCGAAAAATGATTAGATGTAAAAAAAATCATTTGAAATGCAATTTAATAATATCTATAAGCTTGACAGAGTTTAATAAACTTAAGTTTGTGTTGATACTTTTGTGAGTTCATTTTTAAATGGCACTCAAAGTGAAACATTATTCTTTAATGGTCAATAATTTTGCTTACAAAATGAATTTATTATAAGAAATTATGCTATAAAATCATTTGTAACGGGTTTTAAACAAAATTTAAACAATTTTGTATACAAATCTAAACGAATGATTTATTAAAATGCAAAAAAATATATTTATTGAATGCTTTCAAAGTAGCCCTACCTTGCATAAAACGACCATCGGAGTAGCATATAGCATTCAAACAAATTACCAAATATAGTTTAAGAATATAGTTTTAAAAGTCCAATTTATTTTAGCATTCATTCAAAAGAAGTTAAACTTGCTTTAATAATTTGTTAAGTATTTAAGATTTTATATTATCATTTCTGGACCCATTATAAGTTGTTAACGAATTTCCAAGGAGTCATAAAAAAATGGAGTTTGATAACTTACAAGTACTAACAAATGTATTAACAAAACTAGAAAGAGTTAGTTATTAAATAAATAATAAATTCCGAGTTTTAAACGTGTTTTGTTATGTTATAAGTAGTTTCGCATGTTTGTCTAAATAGCAGGAAAATCCATTGCTCTATTTAATTCAAGTGCTTTATTTTGTATTTTGAAAAATATAACAATATACAAGTATTTATTTAAGTAAAAAATTTATTAAATAAATAACAAATTTTACATTTTTTTGGGAAAATCATATTTTATTTATTTGTTTGAATACCAGTAACAACCATTAAATCGTATATAACGTGTGTTCAGTATTCAGAAAAAACAATCGATTTTCTCAATGTATATTTCTTTTAATTGAGAAAATGATAATCGCAATAGCATGATTTAATTTACTTGATGAATGAAAAATACATATACAAGTATATGACTTCATATTTATATATTTGCATTGTTATGTGAAATGCCAGGCATTTGTGTAAATAATGGAATAAATGTAAATAATCATAATATAAAACGAAAAATGCTGTATACCAAGCAATAGTTAATCTCTTTGTTAGCTATTTGTGGTCCTGAAAAGGACCGATTATTGATTTTATAATTTGGAAAATGAAGCGCTGAAATTTCAACTTATGCACGTTCACCACGAATACGTCTGGCCAATTGAATGTCCTTGGGCATGATTGTAACACGCTTGGCATGAATTGCGCACAAATTTGTATCTTCAAAAAGACCAACCAGATAGGCTTCGCTAGCTTCCTGTAATGCCATTACCGCTGAACTTTGGAATCGCAAATCAGTTTTAAAGTCCTGTGCTATCTCACGAACCAAACGCTGGAATGGCAGTTTGCGAATCAATAGCTCAGTGCTTTTCTGGTAGCGGCGGATCTCACGAAGTGCAACTGTACCGGGGCGATAACGATGTGGCTTTTTTACACCACCGGTGGCTGGTGCACTTTTACGAGCAGCTTTGGTAGCCAGCTGCTTGCGAGGCGCTTTGCCACCGGTCGATTTTCGGGCAGTTTGCTTGGTGCGAGCCATTATACAAGTATTTATTCCGTACTAATCTACTACACTGTATACACTGTCACTGATGAAAACACAATATTCGTATTGCTTGCTTTGCGCCTTCTTTATATAGAAATTTGGCCGCACAATGCGATTGGTGGTTGTTTGAACGAGATGTGCGAAAGAGAGATAGGAAGATTATCCGACTCGCTCGTGTTTTCGTGTTATTTTTGTATAAATACGAGCGTATGTGGCCGCAACAGCGTTAGTTTCGTTGTGAATTTTGTGCAGTTAAAGTGAATTAGTGAGAAATGACTGGTCGTGGTAAAGGTGGCAAAGGCTTGGGCAAGGGTGGCGCAAAACGTCATCGCAAAGTATTGCGTGATAACATTCAGGGTATCACAAAGCCAGCTATCCGTCGTTTGGCTCGACGTGGCGGTGTAAAACGCATCTCTGGCTTAATTTATGAAGAGACCCGTGGTGTGCTCAAGGTGTTTTTGGAGAATGTTATTCGTGATGCTGTCACCTATACGGAACATGCCAAAAGGAAAACAGTCACAGCTATGGATGTTGTATATGCATTAAAAAGACAAGGCCGCACCCTTTACGGTTTCGGCGGTTAAGAAGTTACATTTGCCCAAATGTGCAAATAAAGAAAACAATCGGTCCTTTTCAGGACCACAACATATATTTTTAAAAGAGAAAAATATTCAAATCATACTTTTATTTTACAAAAAGCTGTACAATCGATACTCTTCATTTATATTTTCATAATATATTGAACCTTTTCAGGACCACAACATATTTTTTTAAAAGAGAAAAATATTCAACTCATACTTTTATTTTACATACGCATATTTAAAAAAACAAACATATTGTACAGCTTACATTCCATCCATTTATATTTTCATAATTTAGGAGTAAAATATGGCAAACGTTGGCAGTGTTAAAAATTCGAGTATAAATACTTGCACTCAAGTAATTATTATACGTATTGACCAAATTCAAAAGGGATAAAAAATACTTTCGAATTAAAAATATATAATACGCATTATATACATACAAGTAGTATATTCTACGGTTCACGACATGCTGCCCGACCAAATGCTAAGCCTTCATATTTATACTTTATTCAAATTCACGTTGTATGATGATGAATTAAAATCTCTTCTGAATTAAATTGGTCGTCCTGAAAAGGACGGTTGGTTTTATATACAGTATTGTTTTTATTTATTAAAGGTTGCCGCCAATTTAAGCCTTCTTTTCGGTCTTTTTAGGTAAAAGCACCGCCTGGATGTTAGGTAGAACACCACCCTGAGCAATGGTTACGCCCGAGAGGAGCTTGTTTAACTCCTCGTCATTACGAATAGCCAGTTGCAGGTGACGTGGAATTATGCGCGTCTTTTTATTATCGCGTGCTGCATTGCCAGCCAACTCCAGAACTTCAGCGGCTAAATATTCCATAACAGCAGCCAGGTAAACAGGAGCGCCGGCACCAACACGTTCAGCATAGTTACCCTTGCGAAGCAGGCGGTGGATACGGCCAACTGGGAATTGAAGGCCAGCTCGATTCGAACGCGACTTTGCCTTTCCCTTTACTTTACCACCTTTACCACGACCAGACATTTTCTATTTTTTTTTTTTTTTATTTCACAAATACACTTCTCACTGGCTCACTGGCTCACACACAAATGTTGATGTCCGACCAAGTGTTAGGCCTTTATATTTATACTTTTTTAAGCATCATATACGCTCTGCTAAGGGTTGGACGGCTTCTTATAAGTTAAACCTGAAGGCGATGTTAAACAAAAATATACAAATATGTAGCAATTCAGTGGTAGAAAAATATTGCTAAAGCAACTGTGAAGTGTTGTGTTATTTTAACTCAAGTGAATTAAATTAATCTGAAGTGAAAAATGCCGCCAAAGACCAGTGGAAAGGCAGCGAAAAAGGCTGGTAAAGCCCAGAAAAATATAACCAAGAACGACAAGAAGAAGAAGCGCAAGAGGAAGGAGAGTTATGCCATCTACATATACAAAGTTCTGAAGCAGGTTCATCCTGATACAGGCATTTCATCGAAGGCAATGAGCATCATGAACAGTTTTGTGAATGACATTTTCGAGCGCATTGCTGCTGAAGCTTCCCGTTTGGCCCACTATAATAAACGATCGACAATAACGAGTCGCGAAATCCAAACGGCAGTCCGCCTACTTCTGCCCGGTGAATTGGCTAAGCACGCCGTAAGTGAAGGCACCAAAGCCGTTACCAAGTACACCAGCTCAAAGTAAATGTCTGATCGCCCGCTTCATAGCAGCAACAACGTTCCAAAAGGCCCTTTTCAGGGCCATCAAATTTTTCATAAGCAGAGTTAATAATTTTCATACATTTCTTTTAAATAAAATTTACATGGCACCCCTTTACTGTGATAAAAAACAAAATCTATTATAATGGGCGAACATATATATTAATATAACTATTTTGGTCAATATTTATAAACAAACTATTTTTACAAATCATATCGTTCACCTATATGATATGCAGTTCTTATTGCTTGAAATCGACTGAAACAAAACAATTTTTAGTCACCCATTTTTATGAGAATCGTGGAGGAGGACCGGACCGTATACAATTCCATTGTACTTGCATCAGCTAAGTTTATCGTAATTTGCTTCGAAAAATGATTAAATTATTTATTAATTTTATTAATATACGTTTTTTTTAAACTTTTGTGCTCAAAGTGAAACATTTTTCAATTCTCATTATTTTTGTTACAAAATTAACTAACAAATTATGGTCTAAAACCATTTGTAACAGTTTTAAACAAAAATTGTTAAATTTTTCATACATATACTTGTACACCTAGAAGTAATAACAAATATATTAACAAAATTAGAAAAAGATAAGATTATTTGAAACCATTTAAATCACATTTGAAAATTATTTTTTCTCTTTCTTAGTTGTTTGTAGCCCTGAAAAGGGCTTTGTTTCAAATGAATTTTTATATTTGCATATACAAAATTTCACATATGCATTCATTTCTTGACTACTGCTGTCTTTGCCTTTTTGGCGGAAGCTGCAGCCTTTGGTTTTTTCGGTGCCGATGCTGTCTTCTTTGGCTTGGCACTAGTAGTAGTAGTTTTGGCCTTTGGAGTTTTTGGTTTTACAGCACTCGATTTAGGCTTCGATGTAGTTGATTTTGCCTTAACTGTACCACTTTTCTTTGCGTCTTTTGCCTTTGCCTTCTCCTTTGTCTTTTTCTCGGCAGTCTTTTTAGTGGCAAGCAGATTTTTTAACTTTAGATTTCTTGTCACCGGCTGCAGAGGCCTTCTTGGCGACGCCGCTCGACTTCTTTTTAGCTGCTCCAACTGCTGGTGCAACTTTTTTCTTACTTTTCTCGACGGAACTGACTTTTGGCTTTGGCTCTTTTTTAGCGGCCGCAGATAATTTAAACGAACCAGATGCGCCTTTGCCTTTTGTTTGGATGAGTTTTCCATTTGCAACAGCTGACTTCAAATATTTCTTAATGAACGGGGCCAATTTCTGGGCATCGCATTTATATGTGGCACTAATGTACTTTTTAATTGCCAAAAGTGATGACCCACCGCGCTCCTTCAAATTCTTGATTGACGCGTCGACCATTTGCTGGGTTGGCGGATGTGATGGTGGAGCTGTAGCTTTTTTCGATTTGGCGGCAGTTGCCTTCTTGACAGTGACCTTTTTCTCCGCTTGTGCAATGGCAATCGGAGAGGCGGCCGATGTAACAGCAACGATAGAATCAGACATTTCTTTTAACTTCACTTTCACACTTGTAAAATTATAAAACGGTTTGCTTTCAGAAATTTTACGAATTTTTAGTCACCCATTTTTATGAGAATCGTGGAGGAGGGCGGTATACAAATGAATGTGGCATTGGTCGTTCTCGACAGCTAAGTTTATGGCAATCTAAAAGGTAATTTGCTTCGAAAAATGATTAGATGTAAAAAAAATCATTTGAAATGCAATTTAATAATATCTATAAGCTTGACAGAGTTTAATAAACTTAAGTTTGTGTAGATACTTTTGTGAGTTCATTTTTAAATGGCACTCAAAGTGAAACATTATTCTTTAATGGTCAATAATTTTGCTTACAAAATGAATTTATTATAAGAAATTATGCTATAAAATCATTTGTAACGGGTTTTAAACAAAATTTAAACAATTTTGTATACAAATCTAAACGAATGATTTATTAAAATGCAAAAAAATATATTTATTGAATGCTTTCAAAGTAGCCCTACCTTGCATAAAACGACCATCGGAGTAGCATATAGCATTCAAACAAATTACCAAATATAGTTTAAGAATATAGTTTTAAAAGTCCAATTTATTTTAGCATTCATTCAAAAGAAGTTAAACTTGCTTTAATAATTTGTTAAGTATTTAAGATTTTATATTATCATTTCTGGACCCATTATAAGTTGTTAACGAATTTCCAAGGAGTCATAAAAAAATGGAGTTTGATAACTTACAAGTACTAACAAATGTATTAACAAAACTAGAAAGAGTTAGTTATTAAATAAATAATAAATTCCGAGTTTTAAACGTGTTTTGTTATGTTATAAGTAGTTTCGCATGTTTGTCTAAATAGCAGGAAAATCCATTGCTCTATTTAATTCAAGTGCTTTATTTTGTATTTTGAAAAATATAACAATATACAAGTATTTATTTAAGTAAAAAATTTATTAAATAAATAACAAATTTGACATTTTTTTGGGAAAATCATATTTTATTTATTTGTTTGAATACCAGTAACTAACCATTAAATCTTATACTATATAACGTGTGTTCAGTATTCAGAAAAAACAATCGATTTTCTCAATGTATATTTCTTTTAATTGAGAAAATGATAATCGCAATAGCATGATTTAATTTACTTGATGAATGAAAAATACATATACAAGTATATGACTTCATATTTATATATTTGCATTGTTATGTGAAATGCCAGGCATTTGTGTAAATAATGGAATAAATGTAAATAATCATAATATAAAACGAAAAATGCTGTATACCAAGCAATAGTTAATCTCTTTGTTAGCTATTTGTGGTCCTGAAAAGGACCGATTATTGATTTTATAATTTGGAAAATGAAGCGCTGAAATTTCAACTTATGCACGTTCACCACGAATACGTCTGGCCAATTGAATGTCCTTGGGCATGATTGTAACACGCTTGGCATGAATTGCGCACAAATTTGTATCTTCAAAAAGACCAACCAGATAGGCTTCGCTAGCTTCCTGTAATGCCATTACCGCTGAACTTTGGAATCGCAAATCAGTTTTAAAGTCCTGAGCTATCTCACGAACCAAACGCTGGAATGGCAGTTTGCGAATCAATAGCTCAGTGCTTTTCTGGTAGCGGCGGATCTCACGAAGTGCAACTGTACCGGGGCGATAACGATGTGGCTTTTTTACACCACCGGTGGCTGGTGCACTTTTACGAGCAGCTTTGGTAGCCAGCTGCTTGCGAGGCGCTTTGCCACCGGTCGATTTTCGGGCAGTTTGCTTGGTGCGAGCCATTATACAAGTATTTATTCCGTACTAATCTACTACACTGTATACACTGTCACTGATGAAAACACAATATTCGTATTGCTTGCTTTGCGCCTTCTTTATATAGAAATTTGGCCGCACAATGCGATTGGTGGTTGTTTGAACGAGATGTGCGAAAGAGAGATAGGAAGATTATCCGACTCGCTCGTGTTTTCGTGTTATTTTTGTATAAATACGAGCGTATGTGGCCGCAACAGCGTTAGTTTCGTTGTGAATTTTGTGCAGTTAAAGTGAATTAGTGAGAAATGACTGGTCGTGGTAAAGGTGGCAAAGGCTTGGGCAAGGGTGGCGCAAAACGTCATCGCAAAGTATTGCGTGATAACATTCAGGGTATCACAAAGCCAGCTATCCGTCGTTTGGCTCGACGTGGCGGTGTAAAACGCATCTCTGGCTTAATTTATGAAGAGACCCGTGGTGTGCTCAAGGTGTTTTTGGAGAATGTTATTCGTGATGCTGTCACCTATACGGAACATGCCAAAAGGAAAACAGTCACAGCTATGGATGTTGTATATGCATTAAAAAGACAAGGCCGCACCCTTTACGGTTTCGGCGGTTAAGAAGTTACATTTGCCCAAATGTGCAAATAAAGAAAACAATCGGTCCTTTTCAGGACCACAACATATATTTTTAAAAGAGAAAAATATTCAAATCATACTTTTATTTTACAAAAAGCTGTACAATCGATACTCTTCATTTATATTTTCATAATATATTGAACCTTTTCAGGACCACAACATATTTTTTTAAAAGAGAAAAATATTCAACTCATACTTTTATTTTACATACGCATATTTAAAAAAACAAACATATTGTACAGCTTACATTCCATCCATTTATATTTTCATAATTTAGGAGTAAAATATGGCAAACGTTGGCAGTGTTAAAAATTCGAGTATAAATACTTGCACTCAAGTAATTATTATACGTATTGACCAAATTCAAAAGGGATAAAAAATACTTTCGAATTAAAAATATATAATACGCATTATATACATACAAGTAGTATATTCTACGGTTCATGACATGCTGCCCGACCAAATGCTAAGCCTTCATATTTATACTTTATTCAAATTCACGTTGTATGATGATGAATTAAAATCTCTTCTGAATTAAATTGGTCGTCCTGAAAAGGACGGTTGGTTTTATATACAGTATTGTTTTTATTTATTAAAGGTTGCCGCCAATTTAAGCCTTCTTTTCGGTCTTTTTAGGTAAAAGCACCGCCTGGATGTTAGGTAGAACACCACCCTGAGCAATGGTTACGCCCGAGAGGAGCTTGTTTAACTCCTCGTCATTACGAATAGCCAGTTGCAGGTGACGTGGAATTATGCGCGTCTTTTTATTATCGCGTGCTGCATTGCCAGCCAACTCCAGAACTTCAGCGGCTAAATATTCCATAACAGCAGCCAGGTAAACAGGAGCGCCGGCACCAACACGTTCAGCATAGTTACCCTTGCGAAGCAGGCGGTGGATACGGCCAACTGGGAATTGAAGGCCAGCTCGATTCGAACGCGACTTTGCCTTTCCCTTTACTTTACCACCTTTACCACGACCAGACATTTTCTATTTTTTTTTTTTTTTATTTCACAAATACACTTCTCACTGGCTCACACACAAATGTTGATGTCCGACCAAGTGTTAGGCCTTTATATTTATACTTTTTTAAGCATCATATACGCTCTGCTAAGGGTTGGACGGCTTCTTATAAGTTAAACCTGAAGGCGATGTTAAACAAAAATATACAAATATGTAGCAATTCAGTGGTAGAAAAATATTGCTAAAGCAACTGTGAAGTGTTGTGTTATTTTAACTCAAGTGAATTAAATTAATCTGAAGTGAAAAATGCCGCCAAAGACCAGTGGAAAGGCAGCGAAAAAGGCTGGTAAAGCCCAGAAAAATATAACCAAGAACGACAAGAAGAAGAAGCGCAAGAGGAAGGAGAGTTATGCCATCTACATATACAAAGTTCTGAAGCAGGTTCATCCTGATACAGGCATTTCATCGAAGGCAATGAGCATCATGAACAGTTTTGTGAATGACATTTTCGAGCGCATTGCTGCTGAAGCTTCCCGTTTGGCCCACTATAATAAACGATCGACAATAACGAGTCGCGAAATCCAAACGGCAGTCCGCCTACTTCTGCCCGGTGAATTGGCTAAGCACGCCGTAAGTGAAGGCACCAAAGCCGTTACCAAGTACACCAGCTCAAAGTAAATGTCTGATCGCCCGCTTCATAGCAGCAACAACGTTCCAAAAGGCCCTTTTCAGGGCCATCAAATTTTTCATAAGCAGAGTTAATAATTTTCATACATTTCTTTTAAATAAAATTTACATGGCACCCCTTTACTGTGATAAAAAACAAAATCTATTATAATGGGCGAACATATATATTAATATAACTATTTTGGTCAATATTTATAAACAAACTATTTTTACAAATCATATCGTTCACCTATATGATATGCAGTTCTTATTGCTTGAAATCGACTGAAACAAAACAATTTTTAGTCACCCATTTTTATGAGAATCGTGGAGGAGGACCGGACCGTATACAATCCCATTGTACTTGCATCAGCTAAGTTTATCGTAATTTGCTTCGAAAAATGATTAAATTATTTATTAATTTTATTAATATACGTTTTTTTTTAAACTTTTGTGCTCAAAGTGAAACATTTTTCAATTCTCATTATTTTTGTTACAAAATTAACTAACAAATTATGGTCTAAAACCCTTTGTAACAGTTTTAAACAAAAATTGTTAAATTTTTCATACATATACTTGTACACCTAGAAGTAATAACAAATATATTAACAAAATTAGAAAAAGATAAGATTATTTGAAACCATTTAAATCACATTTGAAAATTATTTTTTCTCTTTCTTAGTTGTTTGTAGCCCTGAAAAGGGCTTTGTTTCAAATGAATTTTTATATTTGCATATACAAAATTTCACATATGCATTCATTTCTTGACTACTGCTGTCTTTGCCTTTTTGGCGGAAGCTGCAGCCTTTGGTTTTTTCGGTGCCGATGCTGTCTTCTTTGGCTTGGCACTAGTAGTAGTAGTTTTGGCCTTTGGAGTTTTTGGTTTTACAGCACTCGATTTAGGCTTCGATGTAGTTGATTTTGCCTTAACTGTACCACTTTTCTTTGCGTCTTTTGCCTTTGCCTTCTCCTTTGTCTTTTTCTCGGCAGTCTTTTTAGTGGCAGCAGATTTTTTAACTTTAGATTTCTTGTCACCGGCTGCAGAGGCCTTCTTGGCGACGCCGCTCGACTTCTTTTTAGCTGCTCCAGATGGTGCAACTTTTTTCTTATTTTTCTCGACGGAACTGACTTTTGGCTTTGGCTCTTTTTTAGCGGCCGCAGATAATTTAAACGAACCAGATGCGCCTTTGCCTTTTGTTTGGATGAGTTTTCCATTTACAACAGCTGACTTCAAATATTTCTTAATGAACGGGGCCAATTTCTGGGCATCGCATTTATATGTGGCACTAATGTACTTTTTAATTGCCAAAAGTGATGACCCACCGCGCTCCTTCAAATTCTTGATTGACGCGTCGACCATTTGCTGGGTTGGCGGATGTGATGGTGGAGCTGTAGCTTTTTTCGATTTGGCGGCAGTTGCCTTCTTGACAGTGACCTTTTTCTCCGCTTGTGCAATGGCAATCGGAGAGGCGGCCGATGTAACAGCTACGATAGAATCAGACATTTCTTTTAACTTCACTTTCACACTTGTAAAATTATAAAACGGTTTGCTTTCAGAAATTTTACGAATTTTTAGTCACCCATTTTTATGAGAATCGTGGAGGAGGGCGGTATACAAATGAATGTGGCATTGGTCGTTCTCGACAGCTAAGTTTATATCAATCTAAAAGGTAATTTGCTTCGAAAAATGATTAGATGTAAAAAAAATCATTTGAAATGCAATTTAATAATATCTATAAGCTTGACAGAGTTTAATAAACTTAAGTTTGTGTAGATACTTTTGTGAGTTCATTTTTAAATGGCACTCAAAGTGAAACATTATTCTTTAATGGTCAATAATTTTGCTTACAAAATGAATTTATTATAAGAAATTATGCTATAAAATCATTTGTAACGGGTTTTAAACAAAATTTAAACAATTTTGTATACAAATCTAAACGAATGATTTATTAAAATGCAAAAAAATATATTTATTGAATGCTTTCAAAGTAGCCCTACCTTGCATAAAACGACCATCGGAGTAGCATATAGCATTCAAACAAATTACCAAATATAGTTTAAGAATATAGTTTTAAAAGTCCAATTTATTTTAGCATTCATTCAAAAGAAGTTAAACTTGCTTTAATAATTTGTTAAGTATTTAAGATTTTATATTATCATTTCTGGACCCATTATAAGTTGTTAACGAATTTCCAAGGAGTCATAAAAAAATGGAGTTTGATAACTTACAAGTATTAACAAATGTATTAACAAAACTAGAAAGAGTTAGTTATTAAATAAATAATAAATTCCGAGTTTTAAACGTGTTTTGTTATGTTATAAGTAGTTTCGCATGTTTGTCTAAATAGCAGGAAAATCCATTGCTCTATTTAATTCAAGTGCTTTATTTTGTATTTTGAAAAATATAACAATATACAAGTATTTATTTAAGTAAAAAATTTATTAAATAAATAACAAATTTGACATTTTTTTGGGAAAATCATATTCTATTTATTTGTTTGAATACCAGTAATAACCATTAAATCTTATACTATATAACGTGTGTTTCGCATTCAGAAAAAACAATCGATTTTCTTGTCTAAATAGCAGGACAATCCATTGCTCTATTTAATACAAGTGGTTTATTTTGTATTTTGAAAAATATAACAATATACAAGTATTTATTTAAGTAAAAAATTTATTAAATAAATAACAAATTTTACATTTTTTTGGGAAAATCATATTTTATTTATTTGTTTGAATACCAGTAACAACCATTAAATCGTATATAACGTGTGTTCAGTATTCAGAAAAAAC